TTACCTAGCGACGCCTCACAAACCAATCATAAAATTCCCCGGTGCTAGTCGGATAAATGTCCCACATTCACCACACTGGACAGATAGGATGAAGTATTCAAGGCCAAGTGATAGGTCACAAGGTGCGAGAACTTGGTGGGGGCGGCTGACGTTATTCGTACGATTTGTGGTACAGCAGCTGAGAAATCCAATGTGTTGAATGATTTTAAGCTACCAAGAACAGGTTTCCGCTGGGCTAAAATCATTAGCAGTGTTCACAGAGCCACACAGTAAGTACAGATAGGCCTAAAATATGTAAGATCTGTTCACGTAACTACCAGTACACGGCCAGATTCGAAGAAAATGTACAGAGTATGGAATCAGTAGTGGAACATAACTAGGATACAAGAAAGGCGAAAATGAAGAGAACGGATGACGAGGGAACTAGTTTTGTGTCAATAAAACAATTCGCACAGCAAATACTTGATATAAAGAGGGGATTCAAACGCGTGTGAGATTTAGCCAGGTTTAACGATCAGATTTTTAGCTTCCATTAAACCAAGGATGCAGTTACCAATAGTTAACTTTAGCTTTTCTAGATTCAAAGTAGCATTTGATTTCGTCAAACATTCAACGTAGCTGCTAATGTCAGTATATCACATTATGAAAGGATTTTCATTCACTCCCATGTTCATGAGAAAATGATGGAGTGCTATTTAATGTCGTCCTGCTGAGAATTCCACATAGCATCAAATATACTGTTTGGGATGAAGCCATTATTATGATTATCATTGTATCCATTTATGTCTAGCATAAATACATTCCAGTTAACGTGAACCCATTATGTTCATAGAAGCACCATTCAACTGTTAGTCTTATATTATGTCAGTGAATACCTCTCTGAATTCGTTAGTGATTGCATTAAACGATGATAGTTCGGTATTCAACTTGACTTTAACGTACAGTAACTGATTATTCTACATTGTATCACTATAGGACAGCCAAGAAGTCAAACTTCTTGGGGTCCAATAGCTGGTGCAGATAGGAGTGACAAAGATGGGAGTCATCTGATGCCAGTAATAAGCATCAAACTAACTGGTTTCGCTACGGCCTAGAGACTAAAATTAGCCAGGAGCTGCTGCAAAGCAGGATAGGAGCTGTTCCTATTGCAACTCTCTTTTTTGAATCTTACCACTATCCCAAGAGCTGCTAAGTGCAACAACCCTAATGGATGTTGTGTGCGCGAATATTTACTAGGCACTTAAATTTCCTGGTCACAATTGTTGATCTGGAGAAAATACTAACGAACAGGAATATGGAGATTGGAATTTTCGGTGTGAAGTCCTCATAAGATCTGAAAAGTACACATGGATCAGAAATTAATCTAAGCAGTTTGACAGTAAAAGATGCAAAAACCGAATAGATTCAGTGTCAAATCTTTCGTTCCTCGTGTCGTGATGCGACGTTTTGTGTCCATGTGCTGTCAGCTTACTGGCATTAAAAGACCTATGAATAGGATTTAACTGGTTGGTTATTACTTCATTTGATACATCACTTCTGAAGAGAAATTATGTATTTGATGATTGGAGGCAATCAGTAGGAAGCTTTGGATCTAGGTTTAGTGACGCGGGTTCGAATCTCAGAAGGGACATGAGTTCCTTCAAGGTTGCAGATATGCCTTGCTGACGACTGCCAACTAGCACGAAACCTAGGTCCAAGGCTTCCTGCCGATTGCCTCCAACCATCAAATCAATGTGCACTGTGATGGCAAGCTAGCTAGAATGGTGGTCACATTACAACCTGACTGATAGAATTCAGTCTACACCAATCAGAGGACTAGACGCATCACACTAGTTACTAGTGTCAAATCAGATATTATATATATATATATATATAGGCTTTTTGTTACAGATGCAGAACAGTTTTCCCAACTTAATTAGCCATGAATTTCATTATAAACGCTCCTGAATAGACCTCAAATGAAGTGTAATACAATCTCAACTTAAACTTTACATAAACTTCAAAGCCGGTAGGCTGCGGCCCATGTTCCCAACAGAACGGGTAGTGATTCCTTAATTAAGAGAAGTAACTAGACTACCGACTTCTCCTTGTACCTACCAGTTCAACTATTCCTGTAAAGCCAGTTATGTTGGTCGTTACTCTATGGAATTAGTTTACCATGTGGCTTCAAAAACGCAAACTGAACCATCAATAGTCTGACATTAGACTACCTAGTTTAAACAGGGCAAAGGTGTTCAAACACCAAATACTCCAAACACTGCATATCACTTAAAACAATCGAAAATGCGTAAAAAATGAAGTGTTCAGCCTTCACTACTATCTTGGTCAGCTGGAGAACCTATAAATACATAAATTATGCATTATTTTTATTAAGCTGATATTTATTGTGGCGTTACATTTATATTTATTATCACTTGAAGATGGTGGACCTAGAGAAAAGAGTTGAAGATTCCTGACCAACAACAACAGTCAACAATCAGCATAAATGGGAGAATTCTGAAAGAATCAACCTTTACCAACCCACCTGCCTACCTGGGAAGCATGGTTCCATCTACAGGTAGACGGAACTCATGAAGATATCAAAGCGAGGATCAAGAAAGCAAGGCAAGCTTTCATTTCTCTCAAGTCTGTGTGGAGATCGACAGCACTCAGAATGAAAAATAAGAACCGGATTTTCAACTTCGATTCGGAGTTAGTGCTACTTTCTATGCAGATCAGAGACTTGGCGCCGCGTCACGAAGGCCACTTCGAACAAACTATAGGCCTTCACCAACAGCCATCTTCGCCCAATACTACTCAAGATCAGATGGATGGCTAGAAAAGATCAGAAACAGGGATGGATCTCTGGCAATGAGCGAACCAACTCAGCAGGAACCGATTGTGCAACAAATATGCAAGAAGAAATGGAGGTGGATTGGCCGTACTCTGAGGAAACCAACTATCAAGTGGCACCACATGCCAGGCTATTTACTCGAGTGGAACCCGAATGGGAAGTGGGGAGTTGGTGGTCATTACAAGGGTGGCATGGAGATCATATGAAGAGGAGACAAAAGCATGTGGGCAGAAGTGGATCCATGTAACAACGTTGGCGGAGAACCGAACGCAATGGAGACGTGCGGCTGAAGCCCTATGTTCATCTAGGAACTAAAGGAAACAATAATCGCTTGAAGATGCTTTGGAACTATAATCCACTGACTCGATGTTATTTGAAACACCAATGTTGTTGGTAATGATAGTCTCCTAATTATTATGGAGACTGTAAATGGTGATGAGGAAGTAGTGGGAAAATACTTTTTTGTTTATTATTCTACTAAACTCATAAGAGTTACATTTAATTAAAAAAACATCCCTTGGTTTTACTTTCTTGCAACTGATGACGACCAGTGGTGTCCGTCAAGGATGCCCCATTATCTCCTTTTCTATTCAACTTCATCATAGATGTGTTAATGGACTTAACCCTAGGTGACTTCAGCGACTCAGGGATTGACTTGCTACCGGGGAATAATCTCGTTGACTTGGAATATGCAGACGATATAGTCCTTCTAGGCGAAGACGCTGACGAAATGCAGAGTCTTCTAAACACCTTGAGCCGCAATCTACGAATGTTTGGCATGCGATTCGCTCCCGCCAAATGCAAGATGATGTTACAGGACTGGACTACATCGATGCCTAGTTTAAAATTAGGAAGTGAAGTGGTACAGCACGTTGACCGCTTCACTTATTTGGGAAGTACCATCAGCCCCAACGGGCTGATCTCTGACGAAATCTCAGCACGAATACAGGGGCTCGTTTCGCATTTGTTAGTTTACGCCGACTCTGGCGTAGACGAGATGTTCGACTATCGACCAAAGGGCGGGTGTACTGCTCATCAGTCCGCTCCGTCCTCCTTTATGGTTGTGAGACCTGGCCACTGAGAGTGGAAGACATGAAAAGACTAGCTGTCTTTGATCATAGGTGCCTGCGTTCTATTTCCCGTGTAAAGTGGCATAATAAGGTGAGCAACATGGAGGTTAGGCGTAGAGTTCTAGGTAAACAGGGGAAATCAATCGACGAAGTCGTGAAGCTACAAAGACTGAGATGGTTAGGACATGTGTTACGTATGCCAAGTCATCGCCTCCCTCGACGAGCTATGTTAGCGGATATAGGGTCAGGCTGGAAAAAAGCTAGCGGCGGTCAAACAAAAACTTGGCCTCACCAGTCAATGAAATCCACAACAGTTGGTCTAAGCCACGTAGAAAGGTGCAGACTTCCAGGCTGGGGTCCTCGGGACGGTAAAAATCTATGGTTGGAAACAATTGGTGACATGGCTCAAAACCGTTCTCAGTGGCGCAGATGCATCCACTCCCTGTGACTTATGATCTTCAATGAAACTGTTTTGTATTTCTTTATTACTCCTTTGCTCACTGTTTCTATTATGCTTTTCTTGTACTTTCTTCTCTTGCTTCGCGTGCTACACGGAATGTGGCGACTTGAACTTCGCACATTTGTGCAAAGTTCTATGTCGAAAACAGACAGACAGACTTTCTTGCAAGTTCCTTTAGACGAGGTAATTCATTAACTCACACTGGGAAGTGTGCGATGGTGTAAATAATACAAGCGTACAAGATATGATTAAAAACAGTGGCATACGAATTGCTGAAGCGAGGTGAATAAATGTAGACTGTTTCTGATTCATGGCAAGACAAGAAACACTCAGCATTTCCGACACATTTACCTTAAGTGGACAGTCTTTACCTATCATGATGACAGAAATCCCAAATCCTACGTCAGTACAAGCACCTAACCTATGAAGCAGTCCAGCGCTAAATGACGTAAAAATATAATGCCTCCTTGACTAAGTGGTTGTGTACTGACACTTCAAGAAAACCTCCCACTACATGGGTTGATTAGCACATTCTAAATAAAAACAAAAAGCTAGCAAAACTGAACGTCCTTATGTGGTATTTCGTGGGTTAATAAAATACTGTGTACTGAGAGCTGATAAAAATGGTAAACATTACCCATTGTTCCGCTATGATGTTCCCCATTCGTCTGTATCGTTGACAGAAGGACGGACTGTGGGACATGATGAGTAGTTAGCTGTCCAGAGGTTACAGAAGACTGCTGAGAAGCAGCTGTAATTTTATTGATTCCTACTAATGGAGTAGCATTCGACGAACTTATTGGACTTAGGTTTGAAATTATTGGGACTGAGCAAACAGAAGTGGTAGGAGTTGATCTATTCACATTGTTTGATTGATTAAGCACAGATGCATTAACTGAATTTGAGGAATTATTCTGTTTATTTGTGCTTATTGTGGATGGAGTAAATGTATTGTGTTGGTGAGAATGTGGGCGTGGTGAAATGCCTGGGGCTTCAGTTTTTATGGTTGTATGACCTGTGGAACTAAGTGAGCTTTCAGTTTGTGTATGTAATGTATTGGGAACAGTTGATATATCCAAAGGGAAAGGATGGGAGTTGACAGAGGATAGTAGTTGATCTGATGGAGTGGGTGTAACAGGTACATTTCCAATATGAGTGCAGTTCACAGCAGATGATATAGGTGCATTATTGCACAAAACATTGGCGGAAGTGCTTATACTAACTGCACTTGTGGACTGCTGCTTCAGGAAGTTCTTCCGTTTTTCTATAACATCCGGTACAACGGCATCAATAAGGGAGAGGGACTCCACAACACGCTCACTTCCATCCTAAGAGATAGACGTTAAGTGAATAACCATACTAACCTCTCCAATACTTATCTCAGCCTCAGTATATTGTAGGCCTTTCTGAATCAGGCTTAACAAAGAGCCAGGGGGCACGAGGGCCCCATCAACATTAGACTGACTAATCTGGCTTTCCAGACCAAACAAGTATGCTGAGTGACAATAACCTGCAATAACATAATGTATTACTTAATGGGGAATAGCTTCAACTTACCTGATTCTTGGAGATACCTGAATATAAGAAAATTAACTTCATCAGAAGTAAAGCTCATCCCCTAGCTGGTGAAAGTGGGGAACAATGCTAGGCGTCCGTAATATGGTAGACGTAGATTACAGTAGCAACTAAAGTTTACCTACTGAAAAAACACCAAAGAACGGATGTAAGACACAAATCAATGATAAAAACACAACTTATGCCTTAACTGCCTGACAATAAGATACTAAATAAAGCATAACCATTGATTAATAAGTCAAAAACATAGTGAAATTAACGAAATTATCTGATTACCAACGTCCACATTTAAAATAGCGACTAGGTCTTTTTTAAACGGCACTAAAACAAATCAATGTAATTTAAGAATTTTTCACGAAATTCTTGCTACAAAGGTTTCAAGCAATTTTATTTTCTGTTATTCATATTTGTGTTAGGATTTCCTCGAAAAGTGACCAAACACTGAAGAAACAACGCTAAATGCCTATTTCATCTAAATATGTGTGGTAATTCACACTATAAGACCCAAAAAGGAGGACGATTTCAGTCTCTTTACTTTATCCGTGTAAACGCACTGATCTGAAAAGTTGTGTTATGGATTTTACTCCTAGAATACCGTCATTGTACACAATGGGAGAAATAATCTTTGTAAGTCTTCAAACTGACTGTTACTATGTGGATGAAAGAACATGGGTCAGACTGCTGTGAACTAAGTATGTTGTTAGGCGCTAGTAATAATTTACTTAGTTGCTACATGACGTGACAACTGATAATACTCTTCACAGCCCAGCAGTTTTCATTATCCATCCCAGTGTGAGAATCCATAACTGTATCTGTATGGCTCATAGGTATACATTGTTAGAGATGCGTTCACCAATTACTGAATTAGATGACAGCTGTAAGAATTCTTACTGAAAAAATTTGAAGGGGTGACTATAACTTGATTATTTCCTGAGAATGTTTTACATGAGTTTCTGAAGAGATATATTAATAAACACAGAATATTGTTCTGTCTGAATATTCAAGATTTTACTGTGAGTTATCTTTCATGTACCCACAAAAATGTATAAATAAAATCAATTTCATCGAAGACTTTCGCATTAACTCATATTCTGAATAATTCGTAAGACTCGCTTTTGTCATTATTGCCTACACTGAGCCCTCACAGTTTGTGTTTACAGTAGTAAATCATTAGTCTACAGCATTCATCACTCAACAGTGTGTGACTTGTTGACTTGTTAAGCTAAAGGTTCGATGCGAAACATCCACGCCATTCGCTACGCTCTCTCTTTGCCTGTGGGAGGTCATGCACCATTCCTAGACAATTAAACGGCCACAACCACCGTATAATTCCTGATCTCGAATTATATATTGTATTCTGGAAGATCACTTTGTCTTTTTGATTCGCCTACGGTTTAAATAGAACAAGTACTTTGTAGCCACATGATAAACACTGACATTCTTCATCACCTATGTGCCCGAAACAGTTGGGAATCCCATACAGAGTGATCTTTCGATCATCGTTCTCAAGGCAGAAGAATGAGAACAACATAGGTTGTAAGTCAAACTCGATATAGTGTGGGTACTTCTATTACGCCTTGTGAAACGGCTCTAAAAAATTTGAGGAAGTTCCATGAGCACTTTACCGTTTATATTTGCTGCCCTTGCTGTATCCATGATCTCCTTACGCCCAACGAATAATTCAGTGTACTCATTAAAGGATCTTCTGGTCTACCGCGCATGAACACAATGTTTTTCACAGTAATGCAGCTTGTACTGAAGGATCAGACTCAAACCACCTGCAGAACTCTTTTGTTTATGAACGTATCTAGTGTTATCACTACTACAAGAACACCATTTTCACCAACCTTCATTACGATCCATAATCTAACTAGCCAGCAAAAATTTCATTACACTAGGCTTCGCTACCCAGCCTACGATCAGCCCGTAAACTGTCCACCTAAATAAGGTAGAAGCCTTGTATTGCAAATACCGCCTGATTAGTGAAGGCAAAAACAACTAGTCCCATTTTTGCAGCTGCTTACATACGCACATATTTCCTACTAAATAGGTTACCGATTGAGCTGACAGTATAAGCATTTATGCTCTAGGTCAAACACTGAATACACAAGTGAAAAACCTAGCTGTATATGCATCAGTCATGTCAAGGAACGCAAACTGCCTAGGGGCCCATTACCTTAAGAAGTTTGTGATATTTTGTTGGTGAAACTGTTTGCATTAGAAGAAATTCCTTGCTAGATCCTCTGCGACTGGCGTTGCGTCTGACCCGTAATCCGAAAATGCAAAGATGTGAAGGACATTTCCGTTATGTCCAGCTAAGACAAATACTATGGCCAGCGGTATCTCATTCTTCATATTCTTGCAAAATTGCACATCCTAGCACAGTTGTGCAAGCGTGTGCCCCCAGTTTTTAGCTTCATCTAAGAATCCATATCTTTTGCGTATCAATATATGGTGTATTTAACCACAACTTTCAGTCGTACAGGACCTCAGGCACCGGCCACTTTTTGCTATATGTCACGTGGTTTTCACTTGGAAATGAAATCTAGACCTTCATTGAGGTCTTTATCCTTAAACTACTAGCACTATAAAGTGCCCTTATAAGTGTAATATACAAGGTAATATGAAGGAAAATGCTCGCTTCTTTGGATCACGAATCTGTTTTTCACGGTTGAACTCTGAAAGCTGGGCGGTAAAGACTCGACATCTAGAATCAAGAATAAATTTCTTCCGAAAGACACTAAATTCCTTACTATCTCTTAGAGTGTCGTGCTTATTATTTATCAACCCATACCTAGTGTTAGCAAAGTTTGGCTGCTCCCTAACAAACAATAGTTGGCATCGTTCTCGGAGGTATCGAAAGCAAATTCTACCCATTTTCACTGAGTACGAAATGGAAGTTCAAGGAAAGGACCACCAATAAGTCAACCAGAACCAGAATTAAAAATTCTATTCACCTTCTTGCGTGTTTGCATCTCGCAAGACAAATTCTTCAAATTTATCGCATAATTTCTACCCGTATGCGGTGATCATACCATGGTTTAGACATAAGACTTCCTCTGGCATTTCTATCCCGTTATTTTGGCCTTCTTCCGATCCCCCCAGAATACAATATTCGGTAATCCTCTTCGCTACCTCTTCACAGTACTAAGTTAAGTAACTCAATCTAATTCGATGTCCCATAGTATCGATAACCGAATTCCTCGTGAGATACTGGCCGCTTTCTGGGTTGACAACAAACTCAAGAGTCTCTGTTTTAGACATATATGAAACCTAAGAGCTTGTGTTTCTAAACAGGTAATTGGAAATCATCTACACTGCATGTGATCGGAATGCTTTCGAGGCATTTTCATTTTCGGTTTCACGTAATCACAGCTCCCTCAAAATGCCTGCCACGGTCTTGCTAACTCAATTTCCCTTCATTTTTCGGGGTACAGATGTTTCTAAAAATTTGGGTTTCGTCAGAAACTGCCTTCAGATTTATTCATTCCAGTTGCACTAAGTGCGCTACTCATTACTGATTGTGGAGGAAACGGTGGCATATAACTTTCATCTCACCGCCAGTCTAAACTTTGTCCTAAACTTTACATAATTTAATTGCCCAGAAATATATCAGTTCCCATGGACAGTTTGTGCTTCACTTCAGTTAAAACACGGATTGTGTGACTTGAAAATTTATAAGAGTAGTCGTATTAAAGGCGGTAAATACAAAAGTTGTACCCTATGCAGGAGGCGAATCATACTGAACATTATTAACGTCATGAAAGTCACATTCACAGGCATTTGAGAAGATGAAACGTAGCGTAGACAGTCAGCCAAAATCGGATGCATGTATAGGGGTAACCAATGATTATATAACAGTAATTAGCAAGGCTGCTAAGGATTTTATCCCTAGGTTCTCATTGTTACGAAGACGCTCCACACGGATGAAAACCATGTACTTTCTTCGACTTTAACTCCAAAACACCACTATTGTAGGAGGAAGTTATATTGTTTGGCAGTTAAAGCGGAGAACAGTAAAAGTCTATAAACAAATATTTTAGAAAAAATTATGGAGTACTTTTATTCGTTTTTGGTTGTCCTCTTCGAATTTGTACACGATCAAACCATTCGCGCCTTTGAGTTGCCCAACAATGGCTACCAGTTCCAAAAGCAAACGTTCACCTCCATTGAAACTCCCCGGCAGGAAAGTGTCCATAGCGCCGATAACCTTCAACTGAACTGCCAACGCGGGAACCTGGGCCGACCAGGATTAGGCTAAAATGGAAAAGCAAGACAAAAAGCCCAACACACAACAAACATAGCACATCACACCGACACGCTGACTCAGGCGCGTGGGATCTTCGCTCTCTATCGCCAGCACCACCACTGATCTGGTTCGCGAACTGTCGGTTGCTTCATATCACTCTGGCACAATCCCCTCTCCAGCGTATCAAATCGCATACACTGACTCTGACCCCACTCGATTCGTTCACAAGTTTCGAAGACTAGAAAAGACTTCAGAAGTACTTACAATAACATTACAAGATGATTCACACGATGCGACAACTATAAAATAAACCAACAATTAAATGAATCGGACCCACTCGATTACTTAACACAAATATATGTACAATCAATACATCAAATGTTGTGAATTCTGCCTTGACGAACCACACTTGAAGAACTGTAGGACTTACAGCAGTACGCCTACATTCCATCTTAAGTGGATGATCCAAGTGGAAAGACATCCGGATACAAACAAAATCTGTAAACATAGATGAAAGATGATACCAAATCAGTATATACAACATGAACGTATACACAACATGACACACCAAGTACGATGGACTGCGCACCGACGTACTACCCCTGAAGGATTGTAGGGCTTACAGCAGTACGCCTAAAAACCTCCTCAGGTTGACGCCCTAGGTTAAAAAATCGGCGTTCAGTTCATTTCGTGATCACCATTCATTATCTATATTCTCAACTCTGAACGGTGACACGCTCAAAACATTGTATCGTAGAATATAGATTTTTTCGACAACAGCTTGATTCCACACAGTATATATGGTACAAGTATGGAATTTTCAGCGTGGATGTCGGTAGCCCATATTTGCAGCCCGACCACAGATATCAGGAGTGCCTCAGCGAGGGCTCAAACCCCGGAACATGTGCATGGTCGGCGAGAGTCCTAACCACTGTGCCACAGATGAATAAAAAAACGACGTATCTGATCAACCAAGTGTAGAAACAGAGTAATTTACACCAAAGATAATAGCACTCAAATAGTAACTTGAAACTAGAAATGTCTTTATTCATGCAAGTCAAT